TTAAACGTGAAAAACTTTCGTTGGACGAATTTTCTTGTAAACTTCATATTTACTGAGATATCGCACTTTGACGCACTAATGAGCAACCCTGTATAATGAAATCCATGAAATGATACAGATTAAAAAACATAACAATGCTATGAATTTCAGATCGGATACCGACAATCTTAGCTCAGTATATCATACATTAATTAAATGAAATAATCATAGAATATTAACTAACACCCGGTATATTGAAGAATTTTGCAAACCAAAAATAATATCAGCAGAATGCAAAGAAAAATAGCTGAAAGTAAAAGAAATCAATATAAACAGTATTTTATTCGCTTTGTGTCCAAAATGGACAAAATTAATACTCCACATGTATGCCAAGGCTTAAAGCAGCAACAACGCTACACATGTAAGTAAAAATATTTAAGTATCTCAACGAAAAATTCTAGTCTTCCCAAATTTGATTGTTCTGACTAATCACCTGTTAGGCCTAATTAATTTTAGAATGTTTTAAAGTATTACAATTGTGATGTATTTTAATGTGTGATATGATGAGGCTGTTGACAAACTGTGGTTGTTTTTCAAGTTAATGAATTTTTTTTAACTATCTGTTATTTAGAAAAACTGATGATGGTGGAACAGTATGTACACTGCTTTTAACAGCATCTGCAATGCGCGCTACGTAATCCAAGGCAAGGCCGCACTTACCTATGTTACTCGTAGTTTTCTCTAGAAAAGCTAAAGGGCCCTGCAGCATCCCACCCGGGCCAGCCTGCTGAAAAGGGCCGGGTCTCGTCGCCCCAATTCCCTGATGCATGAACATTGTTTGATGAGGAGAGAGCATTCCGGGACCGACAGTGCCTCCAGTCAAACCAGGAGGTACCTTAACAAATATAACAACGTTGATGATACAATATGGTATGTGGTTGCCCATGCCTATCAAAACAACACGAAATTCTACATTCAACTGATTATTTTACTTGCTTGTATATTTGCTAACCAACCCTCCTGGTTTGAGCGCGGTTTTGGTGGGACACGACACAATGAAGCAAGTTGCATGGCAAAACGAAGTTTATTTATTTTAACAAATATTCTCCGAAATTAAGTAGTAGGTACCTCCTAAAGCTTTATTAGTTCAACGAAAAATCAACTTTGAAAAGGCACATTTGAGTCGCACTAGCTAGCACTGCAAACCTCTCGATCGATGGCCGTGATTTCCATCAAAGGGAATATTTGTATTATCACATATACTTTATAAATTGATAAGAGTGAATATATTGTTGCCGTCGAAAACTAACAAACCCTGAGAGTTAGTATACAAATATACATGATTGATTGTTAATGGTGCCTATAGAATATGAACACTGAACAAGTTAAAGAGCAGTATAACACCTTCTAACAAGTATTTCAATTGAATAAATATTTGCATTTTACCATGGGCTCAGTTCACATCTACTCAATAACACATCCAAAAAAAAACGAATATTTTCTGCCAGATTTTCAGAGAGCGTTTTTTAAATCGGCAGCATTTCTTCAAGGTTTATATCCGAAGCACTTTCAATTGCAGGACTGCCCATTCTGAATCACTCGCCCTGTCCAAGGGGTTTTCGATAGTAAAAAACGGGTTTCAAAATAAAATGTCTAAAAAGGAAATAATATAAAACTATATTTAAAAATAATTTCTTCTTCTTGGACTATCAAAATGATTGAGTCCAGTAACATTTCAAACCCACCAACAGTATTATAACATTTCTTAATCAAAACTGGGTGCATAAGTGTCCTAACTTCAAGGATGCTGAAGACGATGCGGCCTTAGTCCCTGCCTCCTAATAGTAGGAACGTTGAAGAATATGTATGTATAAAAATAAACAATTATATGAGCCTACGAGAGCGCTTTGCAATTTACCATCTACGTACTGCGTTTACAACTTAAATTAAATTAATCCACAAGTGTCCCGTAAGTCTATTGACCATTATAATAAAATAAACGCACATATCTGAGAATAACGATCGTTCCTAACAGCAATGAATGTTGTGAAAGTTGAAAACAATCAGCAGAAACAGAGTGTGAGTGGAAAAATAGTCAATATTCATTGCTAATATTCAAAAACAATTCATGCAATTAAACACCCCCAACAGCCGCCCTCGAACCTGGCACACTCTGTACATAGGCAATCGTAAATATTAAACAATACTCATCCGCTTTTAATATGTACATTGTTTGGCGCGCTTGTTATTTGTTTGCTAGATTTTATCTATCGTCTATCTACCTGCATCTGCTGCATTTGCATTTGTTGCAATTGTTGCTGCTGCAACTGTTGGTGCTGCTGTTGTAATTGCTGATGCTGCAGCTGCTGCATTGACGTCGGCATACTGGACATCAATTGGCTAGTGGGTTGGTTTCCTGCGAGCGATTGTACAGGAGATGGCAGAATAGAGCTACCGCTGGAACCGGCACCTGATGGGGTCGAATTGCCTCCTACAATTGTTTACAATTATTATGGAATTTTCGAATCACAACGTGAACTGGCCAAAATAAAATATGATAACAGATCCGCTTTAGAAATCGAGTTTTTCAATTTTTAAAGTGCCTGAGCCGCATTTGAACTAGTATGTCTATTACCTGCTTGCGCTGGACTCTTCGCATAACTATGTAGGTCGGCTAGTAAGTTTTGCCAAACTGCAATTTTCTCATAGTGTCGCTTGATTAGTTCTTCTTTGCGAACCAATTCAATACGTAGATCGTTTACATCTTCTTTGATGTTGATTTCCGGCTTGAGAGCCGAAAGCAAGAACCGTTTTTGAAGGAAATACGCTTCCATTTGCCTAGCCATGTCGATAAATCTATACATGGTATGTTCTACTTCGACTTTAATTTCATCTTTATCGGTTGCAGGAACAGCTTCCTCTTTTGTCAAGACATTTAAACACGACTGAAAGGTAAATAAATAAATGGTATCTATTTAACGCCAAATAACAGATTTATTCCTTTGGTAGGTTAGTTAAGCAACATTGGACTTGATAAGTTTTACTTATAGGACTTTCTGAATGTAAGAGTAATTTTCGCTAAAGCTAAGATTCACCCATCACACTCCCCATACACACGCAGACTAATAAAAGACAAACATGTAGAAATGCCTTGTACCTCTTGGGACTTCCAGACTTCTGGCATTCTTCAACTATTAGATATAAATTAGTAACACACTATATTGAAGATCTACCTACCTGAAATGCTTCCTCAAATTCGTCAACTAAATTTCCATTGGTATTCGTTGGGGTTGCCATAGCTGAGCCAGGAGGCGACGGTTCTTTCAAGGGGTTCATTGCAAACGGACTGAATCACTACGAAGGAATGAAAACAAGTTTATAACTCAAACACTTCCTAAAGCATTTCGAATTCAACGAACAATCAGTCACTGGCTTTTCGTGGCGTTCGCCCAGATATAACTTGCTCTACATAGAGTAAGCAAAATATTTATTTTCTCTATGCTTGTCTATAGCCCAGATTTAACAAAATAAATCAATAAACAGATTTGGGCAGCACAGAACAGAGCATATGTTCTGTGTTGGGTGTTGGACAGACGTCAACAGTGACGCTGCTTTCTTGTCTTCCTCCACAAAATATCCCCCCAGGGGGTATGTTCTGTGTCTTCATCTATGAGTGACGCACCTCTGAACGTCAATGACTATCCTGAAGATAGTTTAAAATGTTTTGAAAATTATTTCAATATTTCGTTGTTTTATTAGTTACATCTTACTGATTTTTAGGTAACGGTAATTATTAAGATGATGCACTAGCTGTTGATCTAACAACTACCATTCTGGACAAAATATGAACATTTAAAACAAAATGGGGAAGTCAAGATTGTAACACAGATTGGCGAATAAAATGGGGAATGAAAGTTTAGTGGTTCACAGCATAGAGTAAGTAAAATAATATAATTTTACTTTCTCTATGGTTTACAGTAAGAAAACGTCATTTTGTTTTAAATGTTTATTGCCCAATTTGTGCAGATAATAAAAACGCAAAAATCGAATAAATATAGCTACGTAACGAGCTGGCAACATACCCTAGCTGGTAGAGCCAATAACAAGAAAGAATAAGAAGCAGAAATGTAGCTACGCTACCCTATATATATAGTCTGTACGCTAAAACTTTAGTCGCACGTCATCAATCGTCGGTCGAGCGTTGTTGCCATACCCGCCATCAATTATAGCATTAAGCAAATAAGAAATTCCGAATAAAAAAGTACAGAAACTCAAGAAGACGAGTTTACACAAACCCAAGAAGAGCAATATGTACAACATCTCGTTAAAGAATGTTAAATGCGGCAAATATAAAAGATTTTTACATTCAAAAGGAAATTAAATTAAATTTTACCTATTCCTGATCCATTTAGAAATTATTAGACTAACAAGAATATTAAAATTATAAAACAAAATTATTATTGCCATCATGCGTTATTTTGCCATTTTTTTAATATCAAAAATGTTCGTAATTTGAAGCAAATACTGAAATTTTTCTTTACAAACGGTTAAGTATTCCAATAGGGTACGAATCAAAGGTTGGGCCATTAAAAATATTGCTTAATAACAAAGTTGACATTCGATTTTCGAATGTATTTGTTCAGGACTCTCTTCACGAAGAGCCGGCATTCTTCAGCTAACCGACGCTCGCTTACATTCGTTTGGTGTAACTGCTGATTTTGCATTCCTAGGCATAGCGCGTCCGAAATACTCTGTATTTTTTTAATTTTTGAATTGACCGTTGATGCTTTAAGTTTTTTTTTAAAACAGCGCTATTATGGTTTTTAGTTCATTACTTGTCTGTATCTATGGTTTACTCTAAACGTTTACTTAGAGAAGTCCACCATGCAAAATCGAGAGTGTTTCGCGCATGTGGTATATGCTTTTATAGCAATCATCACCCTTTACTGGACAAGTCGCTTCTCGAAACTGTGTGAAAAATATTGAACTAATCAATGCTGAGTTTACTGACAGGCAACTTGATCCAGTCCAGTTTAGTGATGGTTTAGTGTTAGACCGTACGCCGCTTTAGCATGCTCGATCCAGACTTGTGGACAGTTTTACGGTCGCCTTTTCGTCGTGTACCTTGTGAATTTAATTATTATGAAAAGTTAACTTCAAGGTATGTTACAAGTTGATTGGTTTTCCAATTTATTTTACATTGTTGTAGCGGACGGGTTTTTCTAATGTTTCTGCCAATAATCTGGTTGTATGTTGTTTTAATAAGCGAGTGAAAAATAATTTTTGTTCGGAATTGATTGAAAATTGACCGCAACCTGAACTGTTATTCCAATATATACACTAGACAAGTTGATAACGACGATAAAACTGATGGACGTCTGTTACATTAAGCTTTTAGACAAATTCAGTAGGAAATGAAAAAGAAATTGAGAACCTAAAGCAAAACATGCAGCTCCGGCTATTATTTAAACTTTTTGGCAAATCCTGTTTTATGTTTAAAGGCTCTAAGCATGTCTTCGTGCGTTCCTTGAGCGCCGCTATTTAAGGCAAGTTCGGGCCATTTGGAAATCAAGTTTGCTTTAGGATATGTAACTTGAGTCAAATTTCTCTCCCCCTACTGCCAAACTATGCATACACATTATAACAAAAGGCACATTTTTACCCAACTATCCAGTTAAAACTGCTGGGCCTTTAAAACTCGCTTTGTAATTATGTTTCCATAATGGCCGGTATTTCCAAGAATTGCATGTATTTAACATAAGCATAAGTAAAATTGGATTAAGTTTTGTTCACTTTTTGAAAATCAATATTGAGGTTCCCACTGCGTGTATATACAAAATGTGTTGCCGTTTACATGCAATAAATTGTAGTGGGCATTTGCAAAATATTACATACATATTTAGGAAACGTTTATATGTTTGCTAAATATTTCAGATCAAAGCAAGTATTTCTTAAATATTATTTTTAAAATATTTGATTCTAATATTTAATTAGCATGAAATAAATAAAATAATAGTAGGTTTTCTTAGTACGTAATACTTTTTGTGTCTATATGTAACACCACTAACACGCAAAAAGTTACTAATATATTATTTTTAATAAGTGTGAACAAACTTTAGAACATATTATCTCAATTTTCATTGGTCAATTAACGGTAAATATTTCAAAATAAAAAGAAATATTTCTTAA